AAATGCCAGCTATTAAATTATTTTTATGATCTATTTAGTTTTAGAAACAAGGTAGGAATGGATTTGTTACAACCATATCTAAGTGAGGAGGCGAGTCTTCTTAAAGGCCTTTAAAGTGATAAACCAAACTTTTAAAGATGTTTTTGAGGTCCTTTTATCCTTCTTTTAGCTAATGAATATAAGTTATGCATTAGTGCTAACTACTGTCAATGCGTTAAGAACCATCAAGATTCTAAGCATATAGAAAGGTAATTCTCTGGCTGGATATGGTGGCTCACACCTGTAATCCTAGCACTTTGGGAAGCAAGGTGGATGGATCACCTGAGTTCAGGAGTTTGAGGGCAGCCTAGCCAACATAGTGAAACCCCATCCCTACTAAAAATACAAAAGTAAGCCTGGCGTGGCAGCATGCACCTGTAAACCCAGCTACTCAGGAGGCTGAGGCAGGAGAATTGCTCGAACCTAGATAACAGAGGTTGCATGAGCCAAGATCGCGCAACTGCACTCCAGCCTGGGCAACAGAGTGAGACTCTGCCTCAAAACAAACAAACAAACAAACAAATTCTTTGTAAGAAGTATCTTCAATTTATTGTTGATTTGTTCTCCGAGTTAGTGTACGTGTATACATTGGGAGGAAAAGGATCAGAGAAAGAAAAGAAAAAGAAAGATTTATTTTAGTTCTGAAATTCTCCAAATTTATGAAATTGATAGTCTGAATAAGAGCCATATGGCCAATTCAAACTGAAACTCCCTTGACCCCTTCATCCCACCCATTGCTTATCACCTCCTACTTCCTTAAAACTAACTAGAGAGAGAAGATAGTGGAAAATAGTGCCATTCTTATAAAAATATTCTGGCATAGCACTTTTTGTGCATAAGACAATTGCATGAAAGTGTACATAGGTCAAGGAATCATCACAGTAACCACCATGTAACCACCAGTCAGATAAAGAAACAGGGTGTTGGTGTGACCTTTTATCCTATTGCTTCTTTCCTTTCCTTACCTTTTAAACAGCCTGAGTTTTAGAGTTGGCACAGTAATCAAAATATACTACTGAATTGCATCTGTCTTTTTCTGTATGGGACATTTTATATTGTATACCCATTTCTTTTTAAATTTTTTGTTTAATAGAGACGGGGGTTTCACTATGTTACCCAGGCTGTTCTCAAAACTCCTGGCTCAAGCGATCCACCTGCCTCAGCCTCCCAAAACGCTGGGATTACAGGTGTGAGCCACTGTGCCCAGCCCCCATTGTATACCCATTTCTTAAGCATCAGCTCCAAGCCAACTCCTTCCAACCACGCATAAGTATTTAAAACCAATGTGAGCACTTACATTAAAAAAATAAAAATAGTTACATTGTATGACAAAAGGATGACATGGAATAATCTCCAATATTACTGTTAATTTCTAAAAGTTAGGCAAAGAAGGTAGTGAGTCTGAATGATTCCAGCAGTTAAGAACTCCCAAAATGAATGCATGTAGCTGAGTCTGAGTGTTGGAGGCCTTTTGGTGTAACTGAGAGTTCTCCAAATTAACTTACTTTTGAATACAATGTTTGCTAAAGCATGGGCAATAAAAATGTGCTCATTTAAAGCCAGTTTAATCATATACATGTATATACGAGATTAAAATTGGGGGGCGGGAAGATTTGGTAGGGTAGATAAAAAAGAACTGAGATACTTAATGATGTTATGGAGCCTACCACCAGACTTCTTGTTATGTGAATTCATAAAATAAATCATTGCTTAAATTACTGTTAATGGTATTTTTTTTTAACTTGCAGCTAAATGCTTTCTAACTGATGCCCATTATAACCTACCTTATCAGGAAACTGCTCCTGAATAGTAAGATCACTTGTTCCCTGTTTCTAACCCTTATTTCTTATTCATTTTTCAATGCAGTTTGGTTTTTGCCTTCACTGGTATCCTGAAATTGTTCATGCCAGTAGCACTCATGACCACTCTGCTTCGCCTGAGGGACACTTTTCAGCCTTTAGTCTTACTAGACATCTTTTTATCTTCTGACACTGTTAGCCATCCCCTCCTTCTCACCTTGGCCTTCATTACATTCTGATTTGCAATTAAACATCTCGCTGTTTCTTTAGTTAAAGGCTTGATCTCTGTCGTCTATAAACTTCATGAAGGCAGGGCCATGTCTGTCTTGTTCACCACTGCTCTTTCAGTGCCTGGCCTATAGTGTGTATTCAACAAACATGTGTAAACAAATGAATACTAAGGAAAGCAATTACTCATGGAACTTAAAATACAGGAAAGGCTTAAGTAGATGTTATGTAGACTGTGCTTGTTGGTGGCAGACCTGGAAAAAACAGGTCTTGTGATTTTTAGCCCAGTAGCTTTTGTATCACCCCACCAACTCTGTGCTTCATGGCATGCTAATATTTCTAAAACCTTTTCCTGGAGAAAATACAACTAAATAATGTGTTACCCTTTTATCATTCATAATGCAGCTTTCCATACATGTTATGAATTTTTCCCCAAACATTCATTTTTTGGAGGCTTCATTCCTTAATGTGGCAGTGTTGGGTGGTGGGGCCTAGTGGGAGGTATCTCAGTCATGGCCTTTCTCATTAATGTCTTTCTCTCAAGAATGGGTTAACTATTGCAGGATTTCAGCCCCCTTTTCTTTTTTGCAAGCATGCCCTCTCACCGATTCTGCTTTTCTGCCATGCTATGATGCAGCATGAGGCCCTCACCCTATGCAACCACCAGGTCTTGAACTTCACAGCCTCCAGAACCACAAGCTAAAATAAACCTCTTTCCTTTATAAATTACCCAGACCCAGGCATTATGTTATAGCAACAGAAAACAAACTAAATATACTACTACTATTCTAATTCATTAATGACAGCAGCATAAATAAAAATAGGGTGGTATTTATATTTTTACATGCAGATTCATCAGAAGAAGGATATAATTAATTTGATTTTTCATGCTCTGCTTTCCTGGGACTTTAGCTAAAGAATGCTATTTGTGTAGCCAAAACTTTCTTCTTTTCACAACTGCTGTGTTTCCTAATATCAACCTTTCCTTTTGTTCAATTAAAATATGCACAAAACCCTCTCAATAAAATTCCAGAATCTCATCTGTCTGCTACATAATGTCCCACTTGGTATACTTTAAAATGTTTTTTTCTGTCATTCTTCCTTATAAGTAGAAAAGAAGAAACACACAGATTAGTTAGGATATCAACATTAGCAACATAACACCACCCATAAATGTTTTGATAATGTGTTGACTAGGAACTGTTTTTGTAGTTCCAAAAAGATTTCCTCACTCAAGGGAAGAAAGTGCCTATCATTCATCATAACATTCTTGAGACTGATTTTCTGAGCTGTAGACACGGACTTCTGCACGTCACCAGAGTGTTTTCAAGTATGCTGGCTGTTTGTTGTTCACGGCTGACACTAACCCTGGACCCATTCCTTTGAGGCCTCTCTCCACTTATGTTCCACTTTTCAGAAGCTGTGCTTTGAATTGGGCCCTTCTAAGTCAAGGTTCTCACCCAAGAACCGGCCATCAGGAGCCAAGAGCTTTGGGAACTGGTCTTTCATTCTCTCTGTTTCTCTCTGCGTCTCCCTCCTTATCAGGAGCTCTCATTGCCCTCTTGGCTTTATGGCTTCTATTTCTATCCATCTTTTCAGCTTCAGCTTTTAGTACTAATCAGTTTTTCCTATGATGGTTCACAATCCAAATTTCCATGGAAGAAATCTGGTTAACTCGTCTCGTCCTTCCATGGCCAAGTTGTGTTGAAGGTCATAGCCAGTGGATGAATTGGCTGGTGCCAAACCTGATGACTGGCTGGGTATGAGTCGGGGTGCTGGGGTAACCTACAAAACCTAATAGCACCTAACATACAACAAAAGAGAGAATGAGGGCAACTTCTTAAGGAAATCGGGGTAAACTTCTTTTATACTCTGGGTAAGATTTCTTTAAAATTTTAACATTCATCTGAATGGTCTATTTTTTACTTTCATTATTGCTTCTTGATATTATAGTATCCAAAAAAGAGTCTAAACCTATTTCACAGAGGAGGAGCCCAGAGATGGCATGTAACTATCCTAAGGTCATGGGGTTATAGAATGGTAGAGAATAAGAAGCAGATATCCCAATTCCCAGCCAAAAAAGCAAGATATTCCAAATTCCTAGCACTAACATGAACTGGACTAGAGAGCCTAGATAATATTCCCAATAATTAGGAAATTTGTTTATCATCAAAGGGATTTCTTTCTTTTCTCATCTAAGAGGATATGCCAAAGAAAAATTAACCTGTGAAAAGTTCTAATATGTAACTACTGTTATAAAACATTTAAAATGTAAATTTGGCACCTTTTCAAAACATACGAGTTAAGAAATCATTTTAAACTTTATTCAAATTACAGAATCTTATGCTTCACATCTGGGTTTTTTTAATGCTTAGGAAAAGTTCTATAAATGTATAACAAATGTATGTGTGTATAAATTAATTATAAATGATAAAACACCCTTTACAAAAAAATTGATTTATTCAGTCAACTACACCCAGATGATTTCAAAAAGTATATCAAAGAATAATTTCTAAATGGATTGTTTTTCTTGCTGTACCTAGCGCTAAGGACAATCTGTCAGCTCTGAAGCTTGTGTTTGATCTGCTTTGTCAAATGCTTTGTGAAATGATATTCAGAATGGCACCATGTGATGTCAACTTGCATTAATCCTTTCCCATAGAGAGGTGTTCAGTATTCAAATTGTGTTTGTACTGGCACAATCTATTTATGTTTCAGCTTCATTTCTAAAAGTTTACAAGTACCGCTTCCTTTAGAAGACTCTGTTCTTTCTTGCAATTTCTCTTCTAAAACAACCTTTAAAAGGAAAATAATAATGTCCTATAAAGCTCCTTTCAGGGAAGTCATTAAGAAAATGATAAATATTTCAGAGAATTGAATTAAAATGTTGGCTATATGTCAATGTTAAATTTTACTATTTTCATCACAGATATATCATGAAAAATTAAAACGATTATTTATTCATCTAAGGAAAGGTTTCTCAGTGAAGTAAATCCATCAACAATATTTTATATGTTTTTATGTAAAAGATAATTTATTAATTTGTTTTTGGCTATCAAGAAACACATGCATTTGTTACTAAAATTATAAAATGTCCTTTAACTCAGTTATAGTAATGATCGTATGTATTGGCAAACACCTAAATGTTTTGCCGATTGGGTAATGTGGGGTAATAAAAAAAATTCATTTCAAATTTCTTCATTTAAAAGAACAATATAAATCATTTATCTATTATTCTGTCTTGCTTAGAAAACACTTAACAGAAAGGTATCTTTAAGATTCTAAATCTAGGCTTTGATGATTTTGAAATAAATTCCTGGTTTCCTTGATTCCCCTGGAAACCAATTATAATAATTTCAAAGACAGTCATTAGCAACTCAAATTCAGTTGACAGCTAAAGGTCTTTTTTAAGTTTTGTCCTTTCCACCTTTTTTCTGAAGCCGGTTTCTGGTTGGTTCAGTCAATACCAAAGGCTCTTGTATGATGACTGCTGGGTAATTTTTGCCTAATAGTTCAACTTCCACTTGTTGTCCTACTTCACTTAGTTCTATAGGGACATATGCGAAAGCCAGACTCTTCTGGATGCTGTAGCTATAGCTTCCAGATGTCGTGTTGCCAACCACCTGGAAAACAAGACCCAACAGTCCTCAATGTCTCGGCCACAGCTCTGTGCTCCTTATCTCTGGGTGGAAAAAAACACTAAAATACAGATTTAGCTTGCAAAATAGAAGTTTTATGAAATGCTGTCTGGCAGGACAACACCAGAGACACAGGAGGAAAACATCACATTTTGAGAAAATTAATGAAAGTTTACAAATTATGAAAAGTAATTCTCAAGGTACACATCTGTATTACTCTGAAATTTCTCTTTTTAAAAATAGTAATACTTAGTTTAGGCCAGGAGTGGTGGCTCATGCCTGTGATCCTAGCACTTGGGGAGGCCTAGGTGGTTGGATCATTTGAGGTCAGGAGTTCAAGACCAGCCTGCCCAAAATGTTGAAACCCCATCTCTACTAAAATACCAAAATTAGTTGGGCTTAGTGATGTGTGACTGTAATCCCAGCTACTCAGGAGGCTGAGGCAGAAGAAACGCTTGAACCCCGGAGGCAGAGGCTGCAGTGAGCAGAGATCTGGCCACTGCACTCCAGCCTGGGTGACAGAGTGAGACT